GAGCATTATTTAAATGTCAAAGCCTACCTGAGTATTGTTGCTGACTATGTCCATCCCTTTATGACCAGTGTACCCAGCTTCTAATGGCCACTTCCAGCATTATAACGTCCACAAAGCTCATATCATCTCAGACTGTTCTCTTGAACAATACACTGTTAACACTGTACTCAAATGACCTCCACAGTCACCAGATCTCAGTTCAACAGCTCACCTATGGGATGTGGTGGAACGGGAGATTTTTTATCATGAAGGTGCAGCTGATAAATTTGAAACAAGTGCATGATGCTATCTTGTGAATATGGACCAAAATCTCTAAGTAATGTTTGAAGTACCTTGTCGAATATATGCCACGAAAAATTAAGGCAGTTCTGAAGACAAAAAGGGGTCCAACCTGGTACCAGTAAAATGTACCTAATAAAGTGGCCAGTGAGTGTATGTAATGCATCATTGAAGGAGCATAAAGACGTATTTTGGTGCACAAATTTATGGAAAGAAATTACCCAAATGCTGGGCAAAGAAGAGAATTCATTCAGACCCAGAAGACAACATTTGTCCTCTGCTGGTCTGGAATATCATTGTTGTACAAATGCAGAAACCGCGACCATCTCAGTACATGGACAAATGTAGGGTGTACACAAAACACAATAATTCCTGCATACAACTGTGTGCAGACTGTACCAGCACATGGTAAACTGCTGCATGGACTTGACTGAAGTCAGAATGCTCCTATTAAGTGTTAAAAAAATCTAAAATAAAAGTAGTCTGCTTCGGAGTATGAGATTCATGATTTGATGAATAACTGTGCATAAATGAAGTTTAATACTATTTCAATAATGAAAAGCTGATTTAAATGTTTCCTTTAGTCTTGGTAGATAAAATAAGAATCTAAAAGCTACTATTTAAAACATCAGAATACTATTTAATCAGAGCAATGTTCCAGATGATTTGATGAAATGAAATGAACTCCTGTGGGCTAATTTATTCTGTGGATAAGGAGCCAGACTCCTGCAGACAGGGCCTGCTGACTTTACTGAGAATGTTTTATACTGCTTCTTCAAATATCCATTTTAAATTGGAGCATCAAATAATTTATGTAAATATTTGCAAAGCAGCACTCGAATCATTTGAATTAAAATTATACTGATATAACAGAGAATTATACTACATATTACTAATCATTCATCTAGTTGTACATCATGAGGTAACCCGAGGCCTATCCCAGGTAACACAGCACAACAAAGAGGGGCACCCTGGGCAGACCTCTAGCTTTAGGACCCAGAGGAAACCTAACTAGGGAAGAACACCCCTCCCTAAACACACACACACACACACAGGTTTGTAATTATATCTTTGTGTGGACTCTCCTTTCATTTCTATGGGGAAAGCTCTAATCCCATCATGACAACATTAACCCCTACGCAGCCCTAACCTTAACCCTAAGTAACCAAAAAAATGCGACACTTTGGGCATTTTTACTTTTTTGATTGCATTCGCCGATCTTTGTGGGGACCTGAAAAATGGTCCCCACAACATCAAAATAACAGGTTTTTATCACATCGTGGGGGACATTTTGGTATAAACCTAATCCACAAGCACACACACACATACACACACAGTCATGTAATCATATCTTTTTGGGGACCGCTCATTCATTTCTATGGGAAAAATGCTAATGCTAACTATGACAACCTTAACCCTACCCAGCCCTAACCATGACCATAAGTAACCAAACAAAATACAAGAGTTTTTGCATTTTTAGTTTTTTCATTGCAGTCATGGATTTTCCCCATATGGGGACCAGGAAACTGGTTCCCATAAGGTAAAGAAAAAAACGGATATTCATCATGTTGTAGGGACATTTAGTACCATTTGTGAGGTCAGGCACTGATGTTGGACTTTGAAGGCCTGGTGTGCAATCTCAGTTCTAGTTCATCCCAAAGGTGTTCGATGGCTGTGGTAAGCATTCTATGTGAGCCGGTCAAGTCCTTTCGCATCAAACTCATCAAACCATGTTTTTATGGACCTTGCATTGTGCATTGAGGCACAGTCATGCTGGAATAGAAAAAGGCCTTCCCCAAACTGTTCCCACAAAGTTGGAAGTATAGAATTATAGAATTTTCCAAAATATCTTGGTATGTTGAAGCATTAATAATTCCCTTCACTGCTACTGAGAGGCCCCAAGACCTGAAAAATAGCCACCAGCCATTATCCCTCCCCCAATAAACTATACAGTTGGCACAACGCAGTCAGCAGCTAGGTAACATTCTCCTGGCAGCTGCCAAACCCAGACTCGTCCATCAGACTGCCAGACAGTAAATGTGTGATTCGTTACTCCACAGAACATGTTTCCACTGCTCTAGAGTCCAGTGGCGGCGTGCTTTACACCACTGCATGCATTTGGAGATGTGAGGCTTGCATGCAGCTGCTCAGCCATGGAAGCCCATTCCATGAAGCTCCCAGCGCACAGTTTTTATGCTGGGGCTAATGGCAGAGGAGGTTTGGAACTCTGCAGTCACTGTAGTGCTAGTGTTAGTGACTTTTACACACTATGCACCTAAGCACTCGGTGACCCTGCTCTGTTACTTTATGTGGTCTGCAACTTTGTGACTGAGATTATGTTTTTCCTAAAACCCTCCACTTTGCAATGATACCACTTAAAGTTGAAAGTAGAATATCTATCAGGGAAGAAATTTCATGAACTGACTTATTCCAAAGGTGGCATCCTATCACAGTACCACACTTGAATTCATTGAGCTCTTCAATACAACCCATTCTTTCAGAAATGTTTGTAAACATGACCGTATGGCTAGGTGCTTGATTTTATACACCTGTGGCAATGATCTGAATGAAATACCCAAATTCAATGATTACTGTAAAAGGTATGTCCCAATACCTTTGTCTACATAGTGTATATCACACTAACCTCGTGTGATATTATATTTTCTAATGTATCAACTGTACTGATTCTCAGAAACACTGCATTGATTTAAAGTAAAGATTTGTGAAAGACAGTGGTTAATTTTGTTTTGTGTTTAAACCCCCGACCCCCGATAGCAGTGTTGTAATCTTTTTTCTGCCATTAATAAACCTAGCTGACTAGTAATGTTACTGATGGCTGAGTCCAAAAGAGACAGAGCAGTGTACAGAGCTGAAGTGTGGGCTCATTTTGACAAGTACTTTTATTTTACTGTTTTATTGATATAAGCAAATGTTAATTCCTTTGCTCAGACTGAACAAAAAGCAGTGCTATGATGTTGCATGTTACAGGCACTGTGATAAATGCAAATGCAGATACCAGTGTCTACTTTTTTTTTACTTTTATGCATATGGTGGTGTGTTATTTATACTGAGAATTTTCCTAATAATAGATTTTAAAAAATCAGAATATAGCCTTGCGTACAGTATCTCAGTATCCCAATATATTGAACCGCAACCCATGTATCATGATACATATCGTATCGTCAGATTCTTGCCAATACACAACCCTACTATTTTATGTTATTTTCTTTTATTGCATGAAAAAGAGTAATTATAGCTGTCTTGAGTTTTTTTATTAATATTTTTTTGAGCTGCCTTTTCTGTATTTATAAAACTGTCCTGTTGGCCACATATGGCCTGAAGGCCTGACCTTCCATATTACTGGGTTAGAAGATTATTTTACATTTATTTATTTAGCAGAGACTTATGTCCAAAGTGACATACAAGTGTGGATGAGTAAGCAGGATTAGACAGTGTCTATGGAAAATGGGGTTAAGGGCCTCTTTCAAAGGGTCCCATGATGGCATCACTCTGCCAGCCACAGGCCGAACCCTCAGAGGCACCATGCTGTGTGATATTCAAGCTGTTCACATTTTTCACAATGGAGAGTCATTTTAGTAGCTATGTTTGCTGAGTCCATTGGAGCTCAAACAGCCAGATGTTTGGCTTTATGCACAGAAACAAAGGACATTGGAAATCTGTCAATCACCAGCCCTGATGATCCCCCGGAGGAAGTAACCATAACTGGAGCCAGGCTGTCAAATGCCCACCATGTTTGAATGTCCAATGTATGACATGCATTGCCAGACAGGATGAATACCTTCATATGGCTGCATTTATTCTGGCTGCTGGCTTCCCTTCCCTCAGGCAGTTATTACAATTTCACATACAGCAGGAAAGGGGAATTACTAAACTCAATGTCCGCCTGCCAGTAATGACCATACATGTCTGGTACCTACTGTATTCTGCATTACATAGATCTTGGTATTTTTATCTTGGTAATCTGACAAACAAACATGTTTTTTTCTCAGACTTTAATATTGATTGAATATAATCATTGGTTAAATTTAAGCCCCTAGATCTTTTCTTGTACATAAAATGCTTTAGTCTTAAAAATGCTTTAGTTTAAATGCTTAAACTTTCCTGTTTAAATGTAGTACTGTTATAAAAAATAATGTATCTTTGCTCCAAATAATCTTATTAATGCGTTAATGCTGGGTCAGCAGGTCATGCAGTGACTAAATCACTAGAGGTAAGCAAATAATGTCAGTTAAAGTCCCTGTCTGGGACCTGGAGGAAGTTTACTGAACTACACAACTGGGTGAAGAAAATATATCAAATCAAATGCTAACTGTTTATAAGCAACAATGCAAAATGAAAGCTGGTGTCTCACTACTATGGCATATAATGTGTTCTGTGTTTTCATAATCAATTCCAGTTAAGCATTTTGATTGAAAAATACATTTTGATTTTGCTAGCTCAATTCATGGTAGTCAGTATTTTTCCTTTTGAAAATAATGAGAAAAAAATCATTTATTTACTCATCTATGTCCATATAATGCAGAAATATGCAGTATCCATTGTAACATGATGACTGACTACTGAACTTCTATGACTAATTTTCACAATTTAGATAAGCTACCTAAAGTCAGCCCCTGAAGTTACAGGTCAAAGCACAAACAAATAAAGCAGATAGACTACAATGAAGACATATGTTAAACACCATATACTTTATTAATTTTTGCTAAAATACAATTGAAAAATAAATTCAACATTCAACTTTACCTGCCCTATGATAATAATTTAGTTTTATAATGTTATTATATTAATATATATTTCAATATATCCATACATTCATAATTACAAATAGAAATATTGTGGCATACTAATGGTAAACGGAACTACTGATCATAATCATATTCTTTGTGAGTGCATTTGCATCTAAGAACACTGGGTCTTTTTTAAGTAGTTCTCTGTCCTTCTAATATAGAATTTCCATCTGTCAACAAAGGCAGTCAAACTACAAGAAAAAAAAGTTACACCTCATTTTATGATTTCTCAGTAGCTATTTGAACAGTCAGTTGATCTTTTGGTGAGAAATGAGGCCACTGAGGAATCGGATCTCTGCGTGTGATGTTTTTTGTCAGAGACTGGGTTATGATGTATTAACCCTGCTTTGTGTTTGCACTGGCATTTAGGAAGGTCATGTATTTTAGTTTGCATTGTGGCAGTGGGAAGTACACATACACTTGGATCTCATTAGAGAATAAACTGCTGAATAAACTTTTTCTGCCGTTACAGTTTAAGACCTTACTGTATATGTATTCCCACCACAGAACTGCAGCATAGTCTAGTTTGTACAATCATGTTAAAGGGTTGTTTACTATCAGACAAACAGCCATTATGAAACATATACAAGTGTCATTCATACCTGATTGAAAGCAGTAGAATTTAAGCTGTTTTTACCAGATTTTGTCCCTTGATTTTCCACCTTAGTTTGGCTGCAAACATTCCACCGGGGACGCCCCAGTGCCTCAATACCTACAGTAGGGGCATCTAGAACCTGGCCAGCGAGCAGAACAGTAGGACCACGTCCGGTGGGCCATGGAGGTGCTGAAGAGTCTCCCTGTCTCTGTCAGCAAAACAAGGCTGGATGCTTCAGATTGGGGCCACCAGCATAAGAGCCACACTTTAATTGCCTGGGTTGCTTTCGGCCTTAAATTGCGTCGGCTTCCCTCTCACCCTCGCCTGCCGCCTTATTACTCTCCTCCCACCTTGCTAAAGCCGTCTTCTTATCCCGCCTGCTTTCTGTTCCTCTTTATGCATTCCTCAGCAGCTCATCCTTAAAGTTCGCACCCCTTTTTGGAAACGGAGACATTTAGGGCTGTCTTTGCTCTCCAGACTGTGCTGGGCAACCCCTTAGTCATCTGTTACTGCCATATTAGCAGCAACCTATCAATTTCCTGTCACAGAACCCTACAATGAATTTCCTCCTGTAGGTTCTAAAGCCCATTTTCATGGCCCATTCACTGTCAAACTGCCCATATACCAAACACATTTTACCCCTTAAAGTACCTAAATATGGTAATATAGTTTCCTCTCACAGTGCTTTTTTACTTGAGGGAAACAGCTAATATAGTTCATTTAAAACATCTAAAATACCATGAAGCTAAAATGTTTATTTTTAGAGATTATATCAGTTCTCTTTATAGCAGGCTAACCACAAAATCTGTGGAACACTAGATGATGACATAAAAACATATCAAAATAAGGTAGGAGTACAGGAGTAGGATATGGATGTGAATATGTATATGCATGTAGAACTTGCTGCTGCCAACAGAAATTGGAAATACGGAGATTATGGACAATATGCAGAGAAGAGCCTGGATGCTCTTTGGACTGAACCTACTGTCAATATACTGCTGGTTATCCTGGACTCTCCACGTGATCAGTGAACGCTATTCATAGGTGAGATATCACAGTGTGGGAAGAGAAAAGCTTTGAAAATTTGATTCAAAAACAGGATTTTTTCACTGTCCAAAACTACAGTGTTGCAAGGCAAAAAAAAAGAAAAATTATACTGCCCCAAAAAACCCCTCAGTGTGCCTCCCTAACTCCAGCCCCAGGTCACTCTCAGCCTGTCAGCTACTGCTGGTATTGGGGCTGACATTCTTCTCAGCCCCTGCCCCAATCTTTTCTTTGGGGCGTTACCATGCCTTCCCCTTAGCTCCACCCTTTTTGCCACATATGACAGGATCAATTCTGGGACTGCAGTCGGTCCCACAGCTTCTTTCATTCCATGTGCCAGCATCTCTATGATCTTCTGTGGATCCTGCCTGCCCTCAAGTCAAGTCTCCAGTGTCTCTTGCCCTCCAAAAACTGCAGAGCCTCATGTTGGGGCCTCCCAGGCTGTGGGGCCTGCCCAAAGATTCTCTCAGTCTGGTTACCAGGAGCTGGAGGAACACTCATCACACAATAAACCGCTCTTCTCTAAGCCTTTTGCCTTCAGCAGCCAGAGAAGTTGGTGGTGGGATTTCCCAGGCTGTGGGGCCTGCCCACAGTCCCTCAGAGCCTGTCAGCAGCTGGAGGAGCTGGTGTTGGGGCTGCTCTGGCTATGGGGCCCGGCCCCGGTCCTTTCCTGCAGCCGCTGCAGTAGGGCACTGTGCTGGGCGGAGAGCGTGGCTGACAGGTGGGCGGGCAGAGCACTGAAGCCCGCCGTCAGCTGCTCCACACGCCGCTCCAGACCCAGCATCTGCCTCTCCAGGTCCTCACTGCGCTCACTCAGCTCCGACATGAGCTCGTACATCACGCTCTGCATCTGCAGTGGGGAGGGGGTGTGTGCGGTGTTACTGTACAGGGGAAATGTGCATCAGGCATGCAGAGCGACAGAGCATCACAACAACCAGGGTGGCAAAATAAGTCCCTATCTGAAACTTCATTGGTTTCCATGCATCACTGTGGAACTGGATTCTACACCAAGGATGGAAAGTGACTTTGACCACAATTACCCAGTAATGCTCAATAAGAGGTTTCAAATTTCCAGCCTGAGACATGCAATAATATAATTCATTATTAAATCTGACCAGCAGATCTATCTTTCCACAGAATAAAAAATTATGTAACATCATTCTGTTCATTTCCAATTAGAAATGTTAAACATAAATTTAAACCTAGCCTGCTCTTTATTATAGTACCTGTTTTTCCTGCCCCCTCCCCTCCTTCCTGTCACGTGATATAACGCAGCCTTGTACATGTATATTTATTGATGCAGCTTAGGGCTGAAAAAGGGAGCACTTGGTTTGATATAACAGATCTCTTTTGCTAAGGCAAAAATGGCAGAAACCATGTCATGTAAGAATGAGATTGCATATGGGTTTAAATTGAAATTCAGAAAAGATCAATTATGAAGTCCTAGTCAGCATTGTGTTAGCAGTCAGTTTCAGTGTCATAAAGCCTCATTTGAGTGTAAAAGGTAGATTCTGATTTATCGTTACATCACAGTGTACAGAAGCATATAGAGTGAAATTCTGATCAGCCACAACATTAAAACCACCTGCCTAACACTGTGTTAGTCTCCCTCGTGCTGCCATAACATCTGACCCATCGAGCCATGGACTCCTCAAGACCACTGAAGGTGTGCTGTGGTACCTGGCACCAGATCATTTAAGTCCAGTAAGTTGTGAGTTTGGGCCTTTTTTCGTACTTTTTTGTCCAGCATATCCAACAGATGTTCGATAAGATTGAGATCTGGAGGATTTGGAGGCCATGTCAACACCTTGAACTCCATTCCATGTTCTTCAAACCATTCCTGAACAAGTTTTGCAGTGTGGCAGGGCACATTATCCTGCTGAAAGAGGCCACTGCCTTCAGGGAATCCCGTTGCCATGAAGGGGTGTACTTGGGCTGCAACAATGTTTTGATATGTAGTATGTGTCAAAGTAACATCCACATGCACCTGGCCATCAACACGGTCTAGTTCTGACGCTCAGATGCCCATTGTAGGCACTTTCGGCACTCTGACCAGTCTGCAGCTTTGCAGCCACATATGCAGCAAGTTGTGATGCACTGTGTGTTCTGACACATTTCATTCATAGCCAGCACTTTTTGTGCAATTTGTGCTACAGTAGCTCTCCTGTGGATCAGACCAGGCAAGTCAACCTTCGCTCCCCATGTGCTTATGACCCCATTGCCAATTCACTGGTTGGCCTTCCTTGCACCTTTTTTGGTAGGTACTAACCACTGCATACTGGGAGCACTCCGTAAGACCTGCTGTTTTGACGATGCTCTGACTCAGTCATCTAGCATCATAATATGGAGTTTGTCAAAGTCACTCAGATCCTTATGCTTGCTCATTTTTCAACTTCAAGACTTATTTTTCACTTGCCTAATATATAAAAGCATTCTTGACAGGTGACATTGTAATGGGATAATCAATGTTAATCAATTCACTTGTCAGTGGTTTTAATGTTATGGTTGATTGGCAATATACTGGTGGAGCATTAATGCCATACTTTAGAGAGGTCCACCAACGTGTTGGCCTGGTCCGTGAGCTTCCTCTGCTCCATCTTCACACTGCGTAGCCTGGGCAGAATGACAGTGAACTTGTCACCGGCCCAGCACCAGGGGGAGGGGCTGCAGAAATGTGCTTTAACAATTGGAGAGGACAAAGTAACGAAGGGATGGGTGGGGATCAGGACTGCAAACATGCTGAATAGGAAGACGGGCTTGGCTAGTGAGCAGGGTTCTGCTAATACACACATAACTGCTAATTAGCAAAACCGAACTTTATCGTTAGTGGATTAGGATTTCTGCTAACTTTGAAAATGTTTAGCAGACCAATTAACTTCTGCTAAATTTAGTTCCAATAATTGAGAATCTGATAACATTTTTTTTGCAGGTAAAGTGAATAAAGTTTAGCGGTCAACATGTTTCTAAACCATAAAATCATACATATTTGTTCCTGTTTGTTGTGAGCATGTCTGCAACAGTCTGTCTGGCATGCTGTTGGCTGACTATGTGTAAAAACATGATGTAGTTGGTCAATACAGCAGCAGAATAGCATTGTAGTGTACCTCTGCGTTACAGTCTTAAAGGCTGATTTATACTTTTACATGGAATCGACACCATAGGTAGCTGCATACTCTACACTGTAGCTACACCCTAGCCTGACACACCTTCCCAGTTATGTAAGTATACATCTTGGTGATGCAAACCACAACAACTGTGATTGGTCGTCTTGGATCTGCATCAGTGCACCAGCATAAATGTTTTGTGTGATTAACCCAATTTGCACAGGATAAAATTTATCTGTACCATATTGAATTGCATATCATATTCTTTTGCATCGTATCGCATTGAATTGCATTATGTTGAATCAAATCATGTGACATCGCACCTCATCACAATTGTGGTGAACTAGCGCACAAGAGTAAATGCTCATAGCAGTGTAAGTCACTTGCGTAGGCTCGACACAGAAGTATAAATCAGCCCTACCAGTGTCAGCAGCAGCATGCGTTATTGTAGGCACATTTTTGTTAACTGTAGTAATTTTAATTTCATTTGTTAATTTACTTGTGTAAATCCTGATTATCCTTTGATCTTGGCATGCTATTCCTTTTTGGAAAGCTCTATGTCTAAGCTATAAGAAATTTAAATTTCGGGTTTCTAGTTATATTTTTTAAGGGTTTCGGAGTCAAAAACCAAACCAAAGCTAAACTCATATAATAAAAGTTGTCACATCAGTGGTTAGGGGTTATCACTAGCTTTTGCTCAATTTTTTTGTGGTTTATTGGTTTATCGTTATCAAATTAAACTTTGGAGCTAGCGGATTAGCAGATATAGACGCTAACTTTTCAGTTAGCTTTGCCCACCACTGTTAATACTTGTACTATAAAGCCAAACCCAGGATGTCGGGGATCTAACAGATAGCAGCAAGTGAGCTAATTACACAAGTGTTCATCAGTCTGGGTTAAAAAGGGGATGAACAATCTTATTTGCAAAAGGCCAGTGTGTATGCAGGTTTTTGTAATAACCTTTAGGTCAGCTGTTCAAACCCTGCTGTGAGAACTTAACCAATCAGTCCTCTATTTTGTGATCTAATTAGGGACTTTCAGAGAAAACTTTCATAGCCCACATAGTGGCTCTTTCTGGAAAAGAGTGGCCACCCCAGGGTTAAAGGCATCGAGAGAGTGACCGTCCATTTAAAGCATACAATACCCTGCCAAAGTAAAACAGACATTCAGTACATGATCTAGTGTATGACATGGAATAGATCAATATGTCTGCATGAGTAAAGTAGAAGCCAGTAATGGACCGGTAAGTCCACCTGGGTAAAATAGAATCCAAAATGTGTGTGAGTGAACTGCTACACAGTAGGTGGTGTGTGCTGGGGAGGGTGCAGGCAGCAGCGTGGCCGGGGCCTCACTGGTGAATGGCCTGCAGGAACTTGCGCTGGTGCTTTCGGACCCTGGCGTGGTCGATCTTCTTCACCAGCCGTGTGTGTTTGTGGATCAGCCAGGTCTCCCGGAGCACATTGGCTGCTGCGTTCTTGATCTGCAAGTGCCAGAGGCAGGCTGCAAAGGCTGAGTGGGGTCACTGGTCTCACACAGACACAGCCAGCCAGCTTAGATAAGCACATCTGTCATCAGGCCCTGTCACTCTCACATTATTCCCATCACAGTCATGAAAAATGCAATCCCCCTTTCAGGGAACCCTGATCCCATATCTCTGACTCATAAAACTGGTTTTTGTTTCTATCACTAGAGCATATTTCCTGCATTCATTATAAGAACAGAGGCTGAGCTTCTCCCTATATCTGTCTGTTTCTGAAAAATCCCTCTGGTTCCTGAAAATACCCCCCATTCAGTGAAATAGTTCTAGTTTAATAGGAAAGAAGAATGAACAGCAGAGAGGAGAGAGTGACGGGGTGGCAACCTCCAGGTAGAGAATACTGCTGTGCAGTCATGCTAATCCAGCAAACTTAACCCTGTGTGGGAAAATGGTTCCATTTACATTCTTCCATTGTGTAACTGCTAGGTCATCGCCAGCTGATTATGCAGTTCAGGCCCAAACCACAGGGGTACCGTTCATTACTGGGGGTCCATCTGGCCTCGCAAATGAACTCTACGGTGAAATTACAGGATCCAATTATGCCAGCCTGTTCAGCAGTGTGTTCAGTATCCCTGTACTTAGAGATATTACCATCTCTTTGTTGCAATTAAGTCATTTGTTTTTTATTGTAAAATGACAGAACTTTAATTCACAATTTAATTCAATACTGGTTTTCATGTGGTGCTCAGACAGCATATGTCGCCTTACTTTTTTAAATTATTATAAAACGTAAACCCCAGATGATAAAGCCACAACTATGAAACCTTGTGAGGTGGAGCTTGTCAATTTGAGCCATTTTGGTCACATTCTTCTCCCCTTTTAAAAGACAAAAAATTGCTTTTTTTTTTAGCAAAAAAGCAATTTTCCTGTCATTTCTGGAGCAAGCCTTTCCATTGGTTGATCAGATCAAATAACACAGCATCAAACTTTGCTTGATTAGCCAGGGTTACGTAAAGGGATAAGATGTCTGAACGAAGAGAGCAAAGAGATGCATTGTGATCACCGTTTTCTGACTCATGCCTGCATACTGTATGTTTATGAAAAAAGGGGACATTCTAGTGCAAAAAAGACTGGGAAGGTTTGCCGAAGGGGGCAGCAATCATCCCACAAATCAGAGTAGCAAAATGTCCCTGTAAGGACGTAGCGGTCTGCACAGGGAGCCAGGCTGCAGCTGAGCAAAGCAGAGTCGCCCGCGGTCTCCCATTCAGCCTTCCTACCCGTTTGGTGAGCTGGGTGTCCATCATGAAGTTATGTACATGCTTCTCTGCCTTGGTCAGCTCCAGCTTCCGAGCAACCACAGCGACGACCAGTGCTGTGCACCCTGCGCCCTGGGGGGGGGGGGGGGGGGGGGGTAGGAGGGGGTTGGGTTTCTGTTACTATGGCCCTCTGACAGTTACACAGCCACATCCAGACTGACTCAGCACAGTTTGGCCCCAGATGATAAAGAATTTAATTGTGTCTTAGCCAGACGACAGGAATCTGGATTTCTTTGCTGCAGCTTGTGAGAATCATGGCCAGTCCCTGGGCTCTGACCTTCACTGGGGCTGAAGCTGCTATTATCATATTTCACAGGGGGTCGACATCGCAGCCTGAGAACCGCATGCCCAGATTAGACAACGGAAGACTGAAAGTGAAGGAAATCTGTTCTTCTCCAGAAACCCATTCTATTGAATTCGCAACAATTAGCCTGCTTCTAAAAATACTCCATTATGGGTCACATTTAATACAGTTTTATTGATTGTTGATGGAGTGACAGAGCACAGTAGCAGCCACTGGTCTTTAGGTCACATACGACCAGCAGGACTCCTGTACTGCCTTGCAAGCTTATCGATGAGTGGGCTGCTTAAAGCCAAACTATAATTAAATAGCTTTTTAAAACATGGGAAAAAAATGATCCAGCCTCTCTTTGGCTGCCCTTTGTAGCATCTGAGTATGCCACCCCACAAGGTACAAAAATATATGAAAGAAAACCACCATGCAGGATTAAGGCCCCTGGCCTTGATTAGCCCCAATTAGGCCCAAAATCATGCTTAAAAGACTAAATTATGACAAAACACTGTGAGGTGCCGCACCAAACTTCTATGTATCGTTCTATTCTATTATGTGTTATATGTCACGCTGGCTAAATTGACTATTACATACAAGGACTCCCAATGATTGTGCTTTATATATTTCTAGGATTTGAACCATCAACCTGCTGAGTGAGTATACAGGCACACAGCATCCCTGTACATGAGGACCCTTGCTGGCTAAAGTCTTAATATTTATACTGATTCCAAATTGCGTTTACGTTCAGAAAGTCATTTCACTGTAGATGCCTTGTATCATATTTGAATTTTTGTAAACATGAGTGATTTCTTGTCTTGTCAATTGAAATGAATGGAATTAAACTGAGGGAGAAGTGAGAGAAAGGAACTGCAATTAGGGGACAGAGGAACAAGGATAAATGTTCTGGCCTTCTGGGACTGATGATGACTGATTAGCAATGTATAACATTTACTCAGGCACAGCAAAGCCACGCGAGAGAAGTGCACCTGTCACCAAGAGTGACATGCAGTGAGATCGGAGCCAGTGTACAGTACATGGTGTACATATCAACAGCACCCAGACCAATTGTGTGTAAGCTACATCACAGAATGGGTATGTGGTATTTGTATCTTTACACTTACATTTATGGTAGCTACTCCAGGTAGCTTTGTTGCCTCTGTGTGTGCTCAACCTACATGTATTCAGTATTTTCATGACAGTGACTTCTGACATGCCAGTATTGTGAGTCTGTAGGTGTGCAATGTCATCTCCACGGTCACATTTGCAAAAAAATCTATGATATTTGATATTAGAACTATATTTATCTATGCATCCATCCATCCACCCATCCTCATATCTCGCATAGGGCCATGAGGAGCCTGGAGTCACAGGGCTCAAGGTAGGGGACACTTCTTATTTCTGTCTTGTTCTTAAATTTGTGGTATTTGGAACCTTAAGCAAATGTGTCAGAGTTACAAGTTATAACTCACAAATGGCACCATAGCATCCTACCTCCCACCACTAACTAGGACAAGAGTACATTCCAGCAGCCGGCATTCACTGTAGTCATGACAACAAGGTCAAAATTTCCACCTGTAGAGAGTCTGTCAATTCACTTTCACTAAGACACACCTCTGTTCTCTCAGTGACTCCATGTCCTCCTCTTAGGCAGCTCAGTACAGCTGGGATGCTGGAGGAGATTCAGCAGCTCAGACATGCCTATTTCCCTCCCCAGCCTCATATCCACGCCTTCTTTTCATTTTTGAATCGGAAATTCTTGGAGCGCATGAGAATTTGATAGCGCAGTATGGGGAATGTGTGGGGGTGCATGCAGTGCAGGTGAGGTACAGAAAAGTTCACAGAGATGACAAAATTAATTATGAACAGATAATGATCACAGGATTGAACGTCATCCAAAGATGAAAACGGTGCCTGTCACCAGAGGACCAAACAATAATTTGAAAAATGGCTTTAGCAGGAACTCAATTTCTATTCCATTCTTCCTCTAGTATAACAAGTGAAGCATAAGATATTTCACGGCTAAGCAACCAATGAAATAATAGAACTGGTCAGTGGCCACATTTCCTGCAGCAGCCGCACAGGGTCCCTGCAATCCCAGCCCAGGGGACTGTGCTCCCTCTCAAGCAAATTAGGGAAGAATAGCCTTAACAGAGTCACACAACAGGGCAGAGCTGAAGGGACGCCCCCTTTCCACCGTGCTCATATAGGAGTGTTTCAGTGGCACTAAAAAGGGAAAGAAAAACAAAAGTAAAAGACCTTTTCTGGTACAGAATACCAGACTTACACACGGTGCACACACCCAGGGGTAATCACCATCCCAGCTTCTAACCTTGGAAGTCTGACACAATGCTAACAGCCACTGAGTCACCATGACACCTAATAGGACAAAATTAACAAATACGATTACAAATAAATGACACACAAACACACGCGAATAATTTCCATGTGCCAGGATATTGTGTCATTTCTTGCCGACTGTGCAGCTAAACTACCATGTAGCCTGTAGAGTAGCAGCAGACAGCTCTGCTATTATGCTTTTACGGGAAACAATGTGAAGCTTAACCTGATTTCCTTCGGTGTACATAATGTCCAGCAGTATTAAAATGCAGAAATCCAACTAAACAACAACAGCTGCAGCACTGCCATGACAACTGCGTCAGGGGCCACTGGCCATATGACATACAGTACATCTTCCTAATGTAAATGAGTATGTTCAGTTTGTTCTAGAATGTTCTATTTAGGTCACAGAGAACATTACCCAAACATACTTATCACGTTGCCCGTGTAAGCTGTTTAAGATTCATATGCCAATGTTACTTACGTACTGATTAAAAGTCTCCATGGAAATTAATTTAAATGGAAATGACTACAAATTTACTAGTCACAGAATATTCTATGTATGCTTTACTGAAAACCTGCCTGATTCATTTTGGATTTTCAAAAACATTCTCAACACTTTTATAAATTGACCATTAAATAGCAATCTCTAAGGGACAATCTCTGTGGGACAGTCTGCCATTTACTGGTGAACTAATCAAGCATCTCTTGAACTGCTTCTTAAACACTGACATATTTTGGATAGGGAAGAGACACACAGAAAGTCAGGAAAGAACAGACAGCTACAGGGAGTTAAAAATTGACAGCATAAGGGGCAATAAGGGAACACTCATGCACACGCACACACATCAGCTCACACACACTCATGCACACGCACACACATCAGCTCACACACACTCATGCACACGCACACACATCAGCTCACACACACTCAT